GGCTAGGGATTCAAACCCACCACCTTAGGTGTATGTGGCTGGCGCCTTAGCCGCTTGAGCCACAGGCGCCGAGCCGACAGATTTTTTTTAAAACCCAAGGTACTCTTTATCTTAGTCTTGTAGAAAACACTTCTTATCTCTGTACACTCTACAACCTCGTTGATAATTTGAGATGAATTTTTTTTTCTTTTGGAGACAAGAGTCTTACTATGTCACCCTTGGTAGAGTGCCATAGCACCACCACAGCAACCTCAAACTTGTGGGCTTAAGCAATTCTCTTGCCTCAGTCTCCCGAGCAGCTGGGACTACATATGCCTGCCACAACACCCGGATATTTTTTTTTGCTGTTGCAGTTGTCATTGTTGTTCAGCAGGCCCAGGCTGGATTTGGATCCACCAGCCTCGGTGTATGTGGCTAGCGCCCTAACCATTGAGTTTTTTTTTCCTTTTCTTTTTTTTTTGAGACAGAGTCTCACTATGTTGCTGTTGGTACAGTGCCGTAGTGTCACAGCTCACAGCAACCTCCAATTCTTTGGCTTAAGTGACTGTCTTGCCTCAGCCTCCCAATTAGTTGGGCCTACAGGCACCTGCCACAACACCTGGCTATTTTTTTGTTGTAGTTCTTTAGCTGGCCTGAGCTGGGTTCAAACCTGCCACCGTAACCACTGTGCTATGGGTGCTGAGCCCGAGTTTTTTTTTTTGTAGCAATGTATTTACAAAGAGGAAATTAGAAAATTAAGGCTAATTACTGCTACAATCTCAAGGCATAGTCTATTTTATTAATTTTGCTACACTGAGTCTAGCTAACAATAGTTTGGATACCTTTTAATAATCTAGAAATTCAGTTTAATGAACATTGACTAGTATGAATATGTAAGTATTGACTAGGTGATGAGAATAAGAATAAATAACTGGATATAATCAATTAATGACAAAAGATTTCAACTAGGTTTTGAAGGAAGAGAGGACAAGATTGCTGAGTTAGAGGTGATGTCAAAGGCACAAAGTCTAGAATGAACAAACCTTTAGCAAGCAAACTACTTCTGTAGATAGATCAAATATGCAGGCAAAGCTGAGGGGTATAAAACCTTCCATGTTCTGAGCAGGGAAATTAGGTAAAGATAAAATAACTTAAGATCTGATATTGGGGAAGTTAGCTGGTCATTTTCTGTTTGTTTGCACTGTAATACTAGGACTAAAGATATGGTTCTGGAAATTTCACAGGAGATAGGTGAAATTAATATAAATGGGCTCGGCG